AACATATCCCTGAAAATATTCAACAATATCAGAATAACAAAAGAAATAATAACCGGTTATTGATGCAGTATAAGTCCAATTTATCAAGAAGAATATGATGTAGCCCTCAAAGCATCTCACCAGTACGTTTCAGGTCTTCACCAATAGCAATATAGGTAACTTCTTGTGTCCTTAAATAGCCTGAAGTATGGTGGGCTTTCCTCCATCATTTGGGGAAACTACCGGTACACGATTTGATGGCCCTTCTCTGTCTGAACTTACAAGAAATTTTCGCCAAACCGTATACAAACTATACTTATTTTTCACATGTTCATTACGAGTGCCATTTATAGTTACTGGTGAAAACCACTGCTACTTATTTCACAGATATTAAGATGTACCTACTTTGTTTCATGATTAACACCAAGTAGTTTATGAAAGTCCAGTTCACTACCTAACTCACCGGCCAATCTCTGAGCACTCGCCAGCATCAGCAGCCACGGCAGCCTTGGCGTATTGGTACTCGCCAGTTGGTTGTGGAGGTGGTTGTGATTGCAGTGGAGTGACTGTTACAGCGTTGTCATCCTTGTAATAATACAATAACCCCATGGTCACACTGACACCCACGGCCACTATCAGCAGCAAGGCAAATGCCACTTGCCATCTCAAAACCTTGGATTTTCTAGAGCAAACATAAAAATGGACTTCTTAGGGCAACAGAAAATTCGATGCAGACATGCCTTGACAAAGTTTTTGACACTCCAAAGCACCCATCCATTGTTTCAACTATCAACTACCAGTGTTGGCCAAGTTTCATGTCGTTGTTTTCAGAGGTGTTCAAGCCCACAAGTGGAAACTTTGATAATAAATATTTTACAATAAGTTCCCAACTTGAAAGGCTATCAGAGGATTGAGATTTGCTGATTCGTTGTTTTTTCCAGTGCTCAGTTGCTTCTCATTTTCTAATGCTATTTTGCTAATTTTATTGCTTATTTTATCGTAGTGGTGTGGCAAAAGCTTTAGGCACAGATGTAACGTTATGAGGCATGTAGAAAATACACACGCACAAGACAAATCTCAGATGAACGAATTTGATGATGATCAGGAAGAAGTTCACTCTGAAAATGCTGACGTGGATAATTCTGTACCAGATTTCAAAAACATAGATTTTAATCGGGAATGTAGGAGTATAAAGATGAATTTATGCTTCATTGATGAAAATAACAGGATCTGGGAGATTGTGATTTGGGATTCGATATAGAAGCAGAGGATAATAATTTTGTCGGATGAAGAAGAGTCAATTTTTCGTTTAGAGGACAATGCCATTCATCTAGCCTAGTTTAAAAAGACTTGAGAAGCCACCAGCAAGAAGTGGAGTGACAAATATGAACAGGAGTATGGATAAAAAACAATGAGAAAGCAAATAGGAAGACTTTCTGGGCGGTCAGGCAAATCTGTTTCAACAAGTGGAAAGTACATGATTGTTATGAAAATCTTGAATAAAAAGTAATAGCGGCATGGAAGTAAACAAGACGCTGAACAGAGAATTGCTTAAACACCAGGTTGAATTTGACTTTCATGATGAAGCAATTAACTGATTATTACTTTTAGCATAAAAAGAATAAAATACCTTAGTAAGGGACTCTTAAAATAATCCAATTAGATTATTCGAAAAGGGGCTTAAATTAAAGGGCCTTATGTTATGAGGTTGGTACATTTTCCCGCCAATTGCCCTATTTGTAAGTACTGTGACGCGACAGAGGGTGCTAGGCATGGCGCACAGCGGAAATTATAGATGGCACTCTGCCCAGTAACAGAGGCAGATGCTAGGCGCGCATAACTGTATATTAAGCGAGTGCGGCGCATAGGCTCCGCCTTGTGCATAGTGCTAGTGCGATAGAGCAGCGAAAGTCACTGCTTGGTCACGTGAGCGCGTACGCGGGCGTGGTCACAGCAGCGCGAAGGCTATATAAAGCGCGACGGGAGCACGATATGGCAGAACCTTGCATTTGGTTTCGTCTTTCTACAACAAACTGGAATGTGGTTTGAGCAGAGCAACTGAGCCGGCGTACAGGTAAGACCCTCGTACTTTGGGTCGTTATTGTGGTTAGTTCCTAGCCCCGAGTGGTGCATGTGTTGTCGAGGGGCTTAGTGGGTTAATTAAGGGGCTATTTGGTGGTATGGTAAGATTTCTTGTGGGAGCTTACGGTCGATTAACGGTGGATTGCTATCTCGCAGCGCAAGTTGTGAGTGGTGTACTAGCCCTGAGATAGCCCTTGTGGTCGAGTTCGGGCGGTCTGTTCTTGACACGGGTTTCTTGTTCTCGCGCTCGAACGGCGGGAACACGACTCAAGAACACATCACACACCATCTCCTCGTCACGGCTTTACAGGAGCACACGGAAAAACTCGTGAGATTTTGGTTTTTGAACAGCTGCAAAAGTGGAGAGGGGGCTTCCAAAGCCATAGACCATGTAGACAATGGGAAGTTTTGCAACATTAACATTAATTATTTTCCCAAACACAGAAACGAACATTCCTGTTCATACAGAAAAGAATTCAACCCATCCAGAACTTAACTCTCGAGAAACGTACATGGACGCCGCCATGTTGCATGTTGTTTGTTTCTTCCCGGCGTTCGAGCGGCCGATCCACGAATAACAAATCGAACTGTTCGTGAAAATACGGGAACAAGCCGCCCGCGGCGAACTCAGCCATTGACGTATTCAGGTCCCGGGGGCACTAGATGCACACGGGTTATCGTGGGGCTCATTGCTCCGGGCAAGGTCTAGTCACACAGTCTTCCCACTGAGAACGCCCTGTACTGGTGCATTGGTTGAGTGTGATTGTAGGAGTGTTGATGAATCAACCAGCCACTTTGATTGTTGTATATAAGTCAGGTGTCCAGGCGAAGCTTATTTAAAGTCAGGTCTGTCTGGTTACGTCATTAAGTTTCGGCCAATCAGATTAGGCATCATCTCAACGAAGACCAGAGATCATTGAACTTTCTTGGGGGACGGTATGCTTCGGTCCCAACGGACTTGTCCCTAGCCGTTCAGGGACTCTCCGGTACGTGATGTCCGTCGCGCCGCCCCTCGAGGAGGAGGGCGCCCTCACCTTCGTCGGATGGGCCACAGTATTACGCTGTCTTATTTTTTACGCTTAAACATGTGTATTTTTTTCCATGGTGGTAATGAATGTACGCAGGTGGGCACGCATGAGGCTTTTAATGATAAAACCATAATGACTGATTGAGTTGAAACTCCATATTTGCTACTTTTGCCAAGTTTAAAAAAAAAATCGGGCATGGGGTGGCCTAATTCGGGGGTGAGGGTGGAATCCCAGCCCCTTAAGGGTATGAGGTCAACACAACGTATACCCAACGCATTTCTTTCAACCTTCTGGTATGTATGTAAATATTGGCTTGTCAAAAGTTCAAATGTGGATATCTAATGATACGCAAATCAGAAAATCGCATTCATCCAGGCCTTTACAGTTAGACCAGATAAGTCATCCAGATGCTGCTTTAGCAGTTTTTCAAGGGCCTGAATATCAACAACAGACTGCTAAGACAACAATCCGTCGTAAACCCATGAAATTAAGGTTATGCAATTACCAATCCTGATTGTACTCAAAACTTAATACGCCACAAAGTGATCCAATGTTCGTGTAATGACTCTCCTGTAATTCAAAACTGTATCATCTATCACGTTATGGCTGTAAACGTCAATTTGCTGCGAAGATGGTTTAGATAGTTTGCACTTTATTTCCAAGTTCCTAATGAGTGTCTGGAAGTGAAAGGGTATTCATCGACGACGAAGTAATTGATGCAAAACTGCCCCGCTTGCCTACCCTCATCAATCTTGCTTTTTCATAACATTTGTTATGCAGTATATATGTTTGAAGAATATTTGTATTGGATGTGGATACAACTTTGACGCCATTCGTTCACTGGAAGGACAGTTTTTTGTGACAAGATACAATGAAGTAAGAAATTTAAAGCCGTTTTGCTTCCTTTTCCAACTAAACATCACTGTTAGCCTTCGCACGGTATGGCCATATTACAGTTGCCGCAGAGCGCCACTGGTTTTTACTCTTCCCAGAACAAACCAAAGGCATACACAAAGTGGATTCAGATAGAACGGAAACCGTAACGCTTGACCAGTAAAACGTTGAGTTTATGTCGTAAAAGAGGGACTGGATGTATGATGAATGACCCTTGCATACACCCAGTTTGTTTGAATGAAGTTAACCACTAAAAATGTTTCTCCCCAAACATTACGATGAATGAGCCTGAAGCCGCATTCGCTTTTAAATTGCCCCCCCCCGACACCAAGCGCTGGATACGCCGCTGGGCCTGTCAATGCAATTTCTTGTCGATGATGCTTCCAGAGTCTTTCAAGGTGTGTTTTGTCAACTGCAGTTGCAGCATTTCTGTTCATTCTATTTGGGAAAGTAGTAGCACACCTGTTTCTTGTCAATTACAATACTGTACTGTTGCAGCAGCTAGTTTGAGTTTTGAGAGGAATAGGAATAACTATTCAAAGAAGACCCTTGGCACGTTTATATGCTTTCAGAATAGTTAGCAAAGGTTTTCGAAAGCTGCATGAAGACCTACAACAATTAGTTCTCTGTTCTGTTGACTCACTAGATGAACCACTTCTAATCTCCTGCATGGCTCCTCATTAACTGTTGGTATCTTTTCGAGTGCGGCATTTTTCATGATTGAATGTACTCTGTACTCTCTGTACTTCAATTGCACACTGTTTCTGTAGATTAACTCCAACTTCCAGGACGGTTGCACTTTGCCTTACTGTGCTTACTGAAAACGACAATCAAACTATTTTTACGCTATGCGACCCATCTTACCCTTTCACGTTTGATTTTTCTACATCAAGGCCTGTCAGCTCCAGCGTTGATTTGCCGTTTTCCATTTCAGCTTGGTAGGAGAATGTCTTGATATACAAAATGTTTTTGATGCTGTACACGCTGTACACGGACTAACTAGGTCTTCCTTGAAGCCCACAATACAGAGCTCGAGAAAAGTATAACCTGAAATGCAACAGGGTGTTTAACACAGCCAACTTCAAACAGTATCAAAATGTTTATTCAGTCGAGTGCAAAAACCACAGCAGAACCAGAGACACAAGAGCGCCACCCACTGAACGCGAGGTGCGCATGCCTACAACGGTACCACTAAATGTTGCTTATCAAGTACGAAGGGCGTGGCAACCGTTTTAAAGGGTCGCTGCATTGAACTTGTTTCAATATAAACCTTTACAATGCACCGTTGTGTCTCACTTAACTTCATTTTAATTTTTGTTTCACTATTTTCACGTGTATATTTTGTTGTTTTGGCTCAGTAGTTCCATATTAAAGCAAAGCTGTGATTTCATCTGAAGAGGAAAACCGTAACATTCATTCGTTTGCACATTAATGATGGATTTTAAATATTTGGGCCTATTTGCTGTCCTAAATTTTCTTTTCTATGGTGGTTCAATAATGTGTAAGTACATAGCAATGATCCAACGAGCAATAATTTCTCACTCTTGTTGACCGAAAGGTCTACCTGCCTCGAGCAAAAGCACCCCCGCATCGGTTGAGAAGAGCCATGTTGGTTGGAGCGTGTTCGTTGTAAACGACGCCATCGCAAACGCATTCACTTCGTTATCATTTGTGAGTCAGCGAAGTACAGTTGTACCTTTTATCTGCATTTCATAAGACTTCATTGGTGGAGATCTAAATGAGCATCCGTTGCTAGAAAATTGGACCCTTTCTTGGTCCCAGTCGGTGCGTATTGGCTGAAGCGGTTGAGTTCGGGCGGCCTGTTCTTGACACGGGTTTCTTGTTCTCACGCTCGATCAGCGGGAACACGATTCAAGAACACTGTTCTCGGAAGGAGATTACACACCACCTCCTTGTCAGGGTTTTACAGGAACACACTCGTAAGATTTTGATTTTTGAATAGATGCAAAAAGTAGACAGATGGCTTCCAAAGCCACAGACAATGGGCAGTTTTGCAAAATTAACATTAATTATTTTTAAATTCCATAACAGAGGAATGAATGTTCCTATTTAAATTGAAAGGAATTCAGCCCAGTTATCCAAACAATAACTGAGGAATGAAGTACGGCCGCCGCCATGTTGCATGTTGCTTGCCACTAACTACCAGCCCCAACATTTGAGCGGCCGGCCCACGAACAACAAATCGTTCCTGTTCGTGAACATACAAGAACAAGCCGCGCGAACTCAGCCCCGCGGCTTCCCTGAGCAACATCACAGCAACAGCGCTCTCTGTTGTTCAGTTAATTTACCTAAAACTTAGTATCACGTTTTCATCAGCTTTGGCAATTTATGTACATGTACTGACTTACAAGAATTACCCGATTTAACAACCGACTCACCAATCTATTGGGATTTTCCAAGCACCTGCTAGCACTGTGTTTGCTAAAATCAAATGGTTCGATTTAAGGTTAGCGGGCAAGTTGAACACGATCAAATTAATAAGTTCAGTGTAAACTCAAAACTGTGTCAAAATTCCTTACCTACTTTACAGTTGCTTTATTTTCGAGTCTATCAAGTAATTATTATGTAGCGGCACACGGGGGGGGGAGTGCCCTGGAGGTGTCCGGCGTGTGCCTGGACAGCAAGTTGTGGGAGGTGATCCCGGGACACAGCAATAGTAACAAGGACACTGGTTCGAGATTCGATCCTTTTATTTTCCAGTTCATTCCAGCCTGAAAATTAACTTTAAAAAACCTTGCAAAAACAGAGAAGTAAATGTATACGTATTGCATATCAATTATTTATAAAAAATTACACGCAGTGATAATTTATACAATCATAATACATTATTACATGTAATTGGAACCGTTCAATGGCTTACTAACAGGCAATTCTCCAAGAATTAGCCAGAATATGAATGTGCAGGCCAACTGGTATCGGAAGCTATGAATGGCCTGCCGAAACAATACAAAGGTTGTAATGATATACTATGTTACTAAAAACAGGACTAATCCAGAATTAATCAAATCTGAAATACATTGTATTCTTAGAGCTGTGCGTACATGTAGGCCTACATGTACAGTGCGCACTGCAACTGCAGCAACGGCCGCGCGACTACGTGGTTCGTAAGCGTGACGTCTCTTCAGTTTAAACCACGCCCACTGCATGGGCACTGCTCATCCGGTTCGTAGGTGACTTTGTCACAAAGGCGGACGCACCAGGATTTGCAGGCTCCAATTGGTCGATCCTAAAGTTGCGCGATAACGGCCGGTTCCACGGCTCCATGTAAACGGAGATCAATGCATGTAACTCTATGTGCAGTGAGTGTCCAGTGGGCGTGGTTAACGCGCATATTCAACGATCGTCCAATGGAAGCCTGAAAATTGTGGCGCGTCCGCTTTTGTGACGAAGTCACTTACGAACCGTCATGCTGAGAGAAATATGGAAGGGGCTGCGGAACACCGTGATCAGAATAACGACAAGAATACTATCAAATCAGTGCTAACTGAATATGCTTGCCCTGAAGAAGGTACTCAGTTACCGAAAGCTTGCGGCAATCACATATTTCAGAGCACCGATTTGATATTATATTCTTGTCGTTTTACAAGGCAGGCCAAAGGTCACCAATCTGTGGGTTGCACCACACCAATACCCACCTATTTAAAACAGTGCAAAATCAGATCGAAATGGCGCCCTCTGGTGAATCTCAGGAAGAGGTTGTGCTCCGGTTTTTCACCGAAATTCCAGATTATGTCAGTCCCCTACACGTTGTACATGCGTTCAACCCTTTCCCACCTTGGATATCTGTTGACTGTACCAGACAAAAGCAGGCCGTATTATACTTCAGCATACATTTACACGGCATATACATGTACATGCACATTGACTACTGAGTTGTTGTTTGGTTGGTTTTGACTCAAAGTATCCCATTTAGTCAGATGGAACTTTAAAAGTTGTACTTTCTGACCACCTGAAGTTCATTTGCGGTTTTCTTCTCAACTTTAAAAGTGTCAGCCACATTTAAAAAAACCTATGTCTTTATTCCCCTTTCCCAAATATACTCCAAATTTTTAGTCAATTTATGCGCTCATTTAGCGCCCGCTCGAAATCTGTGCAAAATAGGCCCATAAGTTGTAGGTGTTGCCGTTTAGCAAAATAACCCAATTTGGAAGTTACAGTATTTCCCAAATTTGTGATTTGAATAGTTATTTATATGATCCGTCCCGATTATGGCAGCTCGTACTGTAAATACTCCCACCCAGAGTCCACAAAACAGTGAGCTCTAGCGTAGAAATCTCGACATCCAGTTTTATACACCACAAAAGCGAGTGCGCGCTGAAGTGCACCCATCATTGATCTCCATTATAATGGAGATCAGTGTGTGCAGTCATCATCACGGTGGTGCATTAATTCCACCATGATGTGGTTGTATTTTTGCAGGGGAGTTCATTAATATTTTGTGATCCCATACCATAATCAGGAGGGATCATGAAAATATTTCGATAAATCCCAAATTTGGGACTGATAGTTTCCAGTTCGGGGTATTTCTTTCACAACTGAAGCCCCAACTTTGCGGGCCTATTTTGGCTACATTCAGAGCTGATGGGCGCATAGTTTTACTGTTATTTTGGGGGTATCTTTGGGGGAAAACGAATAAAAAAACTTGTGGCTAACCCCCATAAAATTGATAAGAAAAAAATCCTCCAGCCATAATCTTGAATTTCCAGTGAAAAAAACCAACCTCTTCACGAGAGTCAACAGGCGGCACTATTTCAGTCCGATTTTGCACTGTTTTCTGTATTATGGTTGCAGGCCAGTAAATAGGTCCAAAATTGCCATGCGCGGACCGAATCACGATTTGTAGGCTGCCAAATTCTCTGCTATTAGAGCCTTTCGTGGCACGTGGACAGGGTGGCTTGTTAAAAATGTGGATGAAATGCAGGGGCAGGACTATCAGCTTGTATTTCTGAAAGTATTGGACCAAACAGGGCCCTCCAAATTGCCCTATTTTGCCATGGAGTGTAGGCATCAATTTCTAAAATGGCGATGGGCCTCCTGACTGTTTTGAGAGGTGATTTTCTCTGGTAAAGCCACTAAAACTTGAAAGGAAAATGAAAGATGAGGAAGTGAGCTTTAATTTGATACGTGTCTTGAACACCTGTGAAACTTGTATTTTTCCTGATTTTCTGAATTGGGGATATTTATCACTGTTGTCTGTAGCAACTTATTTACTGGTCTGGACCCCTATGGGCCGAGCGCGTACTTGATGTAGTGCAACCATAGCGGGCGCCATAACTGATATTGCTTAACATTCGCGCTCGCGTGATGATGCCCACGTGCGTGCAAAGTACAGCCAGCAAATGAAAGGTAACTTCATCTTTTGTGTTAAATAAGGAGACATTTCATTCAAAATTTGTGCCCAGTGTTTGTTCAATGCACGATACGAGAGATTACAGTTAGTTTTAGCATTTCTTTACTTCTGTTGGGTATTTTGTTCACCTCGAATCTGAACGAGCAAGTTCGAACTGGACCTAGGGGCCTAAGCATGCTTGCTGAAGCTTAGTTGAACATGTTGCATTTGATAGCCCCATCCTTGCACCATATTATATGTAGGCCCTACCCACCCTAACGTGGCGCATTTTGATTTGTCGTCCGCTGTTTCACTAACTTAAAGCAATTTTAGACCTGCAGTTTGTTAAATTTCACAATATCTGAAATTTCAACACAACCTTTCATTGGCCCGTGCCTAGTATATAAGTATAAGCCTTATCGCAAATACTGCATGCAGCAAACTTTGCCCCTTTTTCCTTCCCGCAATGCCATTCTATTGTGCAAAATCACCCATGCAGTATTTACGATAAGGCTTATAGGCCAAGGCCTACATAGTACATTCTCGTGGTTTGGATGATGTCACTGAGTCATGTGAGCCTTGATTCATCTCTCTGATTGGTCAATTGGTGGCTATTCTGTATTTCACATTCGAAACTCAAAGGGGCAAAAGTAGTGCAGTGGTCTGTGGGAAATTCTTACTTTTTGACAAAACTCGCAACCTTGCAACCTTTCCATCAAGCATGCTCAAAATTTCACTGCTTGTGTGCTATGATTATTTCCCAGTCCCACACTATACTGAGTTTTCCTGCTTGAGTCCCACCCAAGTAATCTTGTGAGGTTTTTCCGCAAGCTCTCGGACAAGCACTGAGCATACAGTGCTTATTAATATACATTGGGTAAGGGCAAAACCCGTTATATAAATGAAAAACTGGAAATGCAAGTAATTGTCCAAGCATTTGAAAATTTTTCAATGATGCCAGCTTTGGAAAATTCCCCAAATCCCACAAACCTTGGCAGTGTAATCTCCCATAAAACCAGCGATCTAAAGTTATTTAAATTTAAAAATTTCCAGGGTTTGCCAACTAAACTTAAACCATTCATAAGAAAGAGAAGCTGGCGAGATTGGCAATGGCATCAGCTCGGATGGTCGGGGTGGAAATCAGTGTTCGTGCATGTTTCTAATAGTCCTGCATGCATCCACTGCTCTCTGTTGGTGCACGGACATGTGGCTTGTGGGCCGATTGCAAGCGTTTCTTTGTGTTCGAGTCTGTGAGATACGCACCATAATAACCGTCATTCACTCTGCCAAACACAAATCTTTGACTACTTTTCATCCTTCATTTTTTCCATATTGGAAAGAAATTCTACTCAACCTGCTGAGTGAATTGAAGGTCAAAAGAGCAATTCTCAAAATTTTCCATCTGCGCCTTAGAACAAGACTAATGGCCATGTGTTGAAGCTGGTAGCAGTCATACACTTAGGAAGAATGTAGCTTTTGGAATGTTCATCAACAATTGCACAAATAGGCACAAGTGGTTCTGTGCGGGTGAAAGTAGTCCAATTTTTGATGGAATTTATAATCGAAAGATTGAGAAAACTGTAATAGTTCATCGTCGGTGGAATAAGGTCACTTTTTGGGGACTTAAAGGAAATAAATATTTATTCAGTACATTTTTGGTAGCTTGAAAATAAAGCTAAATACACTGAGTTTCTTTTTTGTCAAATAAGCATTTTAGAACTCATGGTCACTTCTATAAAAACTTTAAAAATCGAAAGCCGGCAGGCTAAGTAGATTGATAATCTCTTCCCATAAATGGTGTGCTTCCATGAAGTTAAAATTACCAGTTTAAAAATCTGTAATGATAATAAATCTTTCATGTTTCCGATGCAATATAAAGGGATAATTTTTAATGACACGTACGAGTGTTCAGGACACAACTTACAAGTGCACTCTACTAGAGCCAGTCTAGTGGACTATTGGTACATGTACCTTTGTATCCTTGGCCCTACTCCAAAACTGGAAACAAGAAGAGGAAGATAAGACTTGAAGGTTTTCATGGTGAAAGAACTATATGAGTAAAAAACGATTGCAGTTAAACCATGGATCGATCTCAGTATGTGCGGTTTTGAGAAGAACCAGGGACTTGTCATCTCGACACCGTTCTACAGTGATTTGCTCCCCGGTTCTTCTCAGAACCACACATACTCAAGAAAGATATTGATCCATGGTGTAACCGCAGTCGTTTTTACTCAAGAGGAGAAAGGCTTAAAAATTAAACATTTGACAAAAACCTCCCCGGCTGTGAATGGTATGAGCAACATACACACATTTTTTAATTGCCTTTTTGATTAATTCACCCTGCAGTTTATCATGTTAATTCATTTGCCCAAACTGAAATTCTCTGACCACATGCCACATGTTGGTGAATTATTTAAAAATTTGTCATCTCGATACCATTCTACAGTGATTTGCTCAAGATCTTTACTGGTAATGAACACATTACAAATCCATGCACCAGCAGTTGTGGTGATCTCAGAGAATGTTAATTAATGCACACCGCATTTATTTTAAAACTGCATGAACTCAATTCAGTGTACAGATATGGTTTTGTTGTTGTGGTTATTTGATGTTCAAGACCATATATATGTATGTGCTGGCCTCTTGCATTGAGCATGGTAGTGGAGAAGTTTAAATTTTGAGCTAATCTAGCTGTCTTGGAAATGTGGGCACTGCCCAAGTACAGCATGTTTGATATTCACAGAATTGATTTCAAAATGACCACAAAGAGTTACTGAAAAATGCCTAAAGGTTCAGCTTGTAAAAAAAACCATGGCAGAGAAACTGGAAAATATGTTGTAGGGAGATTCCACAGCCCCCCCCCCCCGCTCTTTTTATGGTTTAACTTGTAGTTAGAATTTGTTGTGCTTGGTTTTCTGGCCTGTTTCAACTTTTCGGTTTACGCCTTGTTTTTTTCTGGGGGGGTGTTGATAATAGTTTTGGTTTTGATATAGAAATGGTGTCCGAGTCCTGAATAATTCAGGTCTTTGCAACTTTTCCCTTGAAGATTCTTTATTTAGTTTAAGTTTCTTTTCCTTCGTAGCGTGCCATTCTTGGAGTTCACATTTGATAATTGAAAACATCATATACTTTTTCTGCACAGAGGCAAACATTGATGGTGGACTCCACCTGTGCACAGAACTTGCAGCTGTGTAATGAACATACGTCTCATTAAGGTAAGACATGACTCAGATGATGGAGGCATGTAAGTCGAGACATGATATGAGGCTGAGGACACATACTTGACACCTGCTAACCCTTCTTATTTAATTGCAACTAGGCAGCTGTCGTGGCTTCACGCTTCACCCATGAAAGGGAAAAAAGAGGGGGAGGGAGGCTGCATGGGGTGTCAAGTGGGCATCTTGTCATTGTGTGTGGTGGTTGAGAGGGGCAATAACCTTTCCCTACCCCTCTTGGGTCAGGAAGGTCAGGCATAAGGGGAGGGGGGCTGCATGGGATGGCAAGCGGGAATCTTGTCATTGTGTGTGTGTTGGGGAGGGGGAAGTAGCCTTTCTCCACCCCACTTGGGTCAGGAAGATCAGGCATGGGCCTAAATTGAATACCTTTCTGTATTTAAACAAAAGTTGAAGTTGCTACATATACTTGGTGCAACCAGTCAAAAATTGTATGGTTCTGTGTTTATAAGCCATTTGCGAGTTAAATTTGAATAAAATCTGGTACGCTGAGTTATCTGATTGCACATTAACATAATTTGAATTCCCCAGACTAAAGACGCTGTTGCTATACCTCATGATTCAGAGCAAACTTTCACATAACGACCACTGTCTCTGGAATGGACTGGTTCCTTTGTGCCCTTCTTGTCCATCGATAACAGTTATTGTTGCAAGCCATCTCTAAATTAAGGAAAAGCTTGCCCCGAATCACGAGGTATAGTAACAGTGACTTAAGTATGGACAATTCAAATTGTTATGTTCATGTGAATTTAAAGAACTCAGTGTGCCAGATTTTATTCAAATTTAGCTTGTGAAAGACTTATATCTGTTGTGGTTTAGAGAATTGAACTAAACATTAAAGACACATTGCACAGTGACGGATGTTATACATTTTGTAGACATGATGACAATTGTTTTCTGGCTGAGAACATAACCGACAGTAATCCTGTCTTGGGGTTACCAATGAAAGCCAAAATTAGCTTCAGTTTGAAAAGTGTTTATACCCAGCTCCTTAAAAATATTAGGAATGAAACCAAATATTTGTTTTGCACAAAGATGGTTTTTCATAATTAATGTTATTATTATTTAACCATTTTATGATTATTTCTTCTCCACACACCAATCCCCTTGTTGCCATAATAGTACCCCCCCTTGGAGCATTGATGAAGGACCAGGCAAGATGACAGTCACATTGTGGAATCCAAAGGGCCTGCATCTTATATCCTCCAGAATGGGAAAAAGACAGAAAAAAGGTAAAAACCATCACTTTGCGTACACTGAACTTAACCCTAACTCTGCCAGATGCACTGGCCATTTTGAGAAAGTGGGAGCTAGTCCCATTGAACAGTGCCACTGTTGGATCTTGTGGTGACTGGCAACCACATACTCCCAGACTGTTTGACCTTGGGGAGAGTTGACCTGTCATGCCTGTTGGATCTTGTTACACTGAGCAGGCAAGCCACTTTGACAAATGATGCAGTCTGATGTGTCTGGCAGGGTTTCTAGTTAATATTGTGCTTGTTTTAATTATGTAACAACTGCTTTGGAATCACTCCTGTTAATTGATAGAAATGGGTCTTTCTATTTCTCCAGTCCAATTTTCCTTTTTAATTGTAGGGGTGTGCATTTGCGGGTATTTTTAGAACCGGGTACCCGTTTTTTGTTAACATCGGGTAACCGGAAAAGAGATCGCCTATATAACAAATGGCATTGTGTGCGACCCGGTGGATCATGTACCCAAAACGCGGTTCTTTTTGGTGCATAGGAAGCAAGCAGAACATTGTTCTAAACGTCGGAGCTAATTTCTCCTACCTTTTTATCAAACGAAATTGTTACCTTCAGTTTGCAAATTTTTTGTGGGTGTATGAAACAGAAAGACAAATCTTCACGGGAAACGTCAGAAAAGAGAACAGAGCTGCAAACCACCTACATGATATACACACCTGCAAACGCTCAAAGGAAATGTCCCGGATGCTGCATGACCACGTACACGCGGACGCATGTGGCGTGCACAAATGGTGCGCGCTGGTCATGTCACGTGCAGAGCAGATCAGTGCTATGTACGTCACACGTTAAAAGGCTTAAAGTTTTATGTACAAAAATACCACCGTAACTCGAACAATGCCCACACCATTATATCCACTTATTTTGAAGTTTCTGATTCAAAAAAAATGCCACCAAAATGCTTCAAACGGCGTTGAAAGTATCGGAAGTCTATATAGGGTTAGGAGTCATCGCGAGTTCATTTCTTTTCTGACGAGGTTGCATAACTCAACGTAGCTGCAACTGTGTAATCCTGGCTTTCAAGATGCTGAAACTAACCTGATTGCAACGCGGGCCCAATTGTAGTCCCCTTCAGGTAGTTCAATCGCTGACACTGCAGCGACCATGTGACCGTAAAAAAGAAAGGTCATGTGAGTACACATAGGGAAGCCCAAGTGAAAAAAATAGCAGCGCTTCACGTTGTTAAATGACTAAGCGATACGAAAGTTTTGCCACACGAAGGTACGTACCACGATGAAGTGGTTTAGTTTAATGAATACTTTTTCAGGATAACTCCATTCCCCTGAGGTTCAGTTGTCGAGATTTTAATGTATAAGTACNGTGCCATTTTTCCCCGTTACACATGCAGCGGTGCTGTGTCGCTCATCAATGGGGCCCTGGAGCACTTTTGTCCGCAGTGCTAATCCACGGGTGCGCTATCTCCAAAACAGTGGTATACTGTTTAGAAACAGTGACGGATTACCTTCGAAAAATGCAAGCCCAAAAATGATGGCAATTCCCAGCAGCAGGTCTTATGTTCTGAGTACGGCCTTTTGTTACACGGACCAGCTCTTTCGTCCAATTTCGGGCAGCCCGGCTCTGTGCATAAAACCCAGGGTGCTCGAAAAGGGGTTCCCCAGCAGCAAGTGGTTAAGGTGGGCAGGACTTCAATCTGGCCAGGCCATGTACCTGGGGTAGAGGCCTGACTCTTTACCGTAACATCTGAATTGTGAAGTAGTTCATGGTTAAACAAAAGGCGGGATCAGACTGGCTCAGACACTGAGAAAGATTAGGGGGAGATTTAGGAACAGTTTTCGACAAGATAGTGCAACGAGCCAGACCTATCTGCCTGCCCCATTCACGGACTCTACCTTGCGCCGCTCGAGCCCCAAGCCTGCTCCGGCCGCCCCGATGAACTCAATCTCCCCATAGGCGTTGGTGGCACTGGTGTGGGTGTGCGTCTCCACCTTCCACTTGGCCTTAGGGTCTGGGTTGTTAAGGAAGCGATCATCGTGGTCCGACTTGTGATTGCCACACTGGCACTTGGGATCATCCGGACTGAAAGGCAGACAAAGAGTTTCTTGTTATGGGGGGGGTTGAAGTTAATATCACCCATTTTTTCAAACATAATTCTTATCTGTCCGTTGGTCTGTCTTTTTTGTCTTGTACATAATTCAGATTACTGAATATTTATAAATTTCAAATATACATAGCCTACGTATTTTGTTCATTTTCATTTTAATACATGGGTATACTTTCATATTTGTGTTTGTATACATATTTATCTTCAATGGTATATATTTGTTTCAATGCACACCCAAGCTAACACATTACGTTGCCACAACGTTATGAAACGTTGTGTAAAGGTTGTCGTTTGGTCATGTGCCATGATGACATTACAACAACGTTACCACAACCTTTGAGTGTTCAGTCAATGGTTGTATAAATGTTGTATTCTGGTTATTTTCACTACGTCCTTTGAAAGTTGCCATATAACGTTGCGTTGACGTTGTGCCATGGTCGTTTCTCAAAGTTGAAAATAAGTCATAATTTAACGTCGTGTAGACGTTTTATGTAGATTTCTGAATAACGTTGCTATTTAGTTGTCGCTGTTACGTTTTTTGAAAACGTTGTCG